TAAAATAATGGCAATTTTATCTCTTCCTTTCCAATCTTTATATTTCTTATTTTTTAATTTTTTTATTTTTTTGCCTTAGAGCATATTCTCTAAAATCAATACAAACATTTTTTTAAAGAGAGATTTAAAAATATATATATTTTTATTGATTTCAGAGAGGAAGTGAGAGAGAAGAGAGAGAGAGAGAGAGGAAGAGGGAGAGAGATTTATTGTTTCCAGGGCCTTGGGGAAGGGAGGAAGGAAGAGTGACTGCTAATGGGGATGGCCTTATGGGGACAGGGGGTAATAAAAATTTTCTAAAATTAGATTGTGTTGATGGCTGCACAATCATGTGAGCATACTGGAAAACAGTGAATTGCACACTTTAAATGGGTGGGTTGTATGGTATATGAATTATATCTCAGTAAAGCTGTTAAGAAAAGAATTATTAAAATATATAAACACTAGAGGCCCGGTGCACACAATTTGTACACTTGGGGGTGCCTGCACCCTCTCACAGTCTGGGAGCCCTTGGGGATGTCTGACTGACGGCTTAAGCCCACTCCCCATGGGCCTAAGCCAGCAGTTGGATATCTTTAGCACTGCCACAGAGGCAAAAGAGGTTCCCACCAAAGCCGCTGACCTTGCCAGCCATGAGCCCCGCTTCTGGCTGAGCGGCACTCTGACCACTAGGGGCAGCTCCTGCATTAACCATCCACTCCCTGCTGGTCAGTGTGCATCATAGCAACCAGTCGTTCTGCCATTCGATCAATTTGCATATTAGCCTTTTATTATATAGGATTTCCCAAAGCATGACCCCTGCTCAGAAAGCAAGGGAAAATAAGAAGTTGACAGGAGGACCCAGCCCAAATAGGTGGTGTGGTTTAGGAGAACCCTTGGTGGGGGAAGTGGTATATGGGCAGAGAGCAGAGGTGGTAACGGGGGCCTGAAAAGGAGATGAGTGCCCCAGAGAATTGTGCCGGCTTCACTTTTGTCAAAGGCCAGCCTGTGGATGGTCTCTGAGAGAAGGCCCCAGAGCCTAGAGGCAGAGAACCTATGATGTCATACCTGACCTTTGTGACACAGGCAGCAGATGTCACGGAGAACTGCTCCCAATGGGACGTCTAGCTCCCACGGGGGGTTGGCAGTGCCACCCCTTAGGCAAAGTCCCCGTCTCTCAGAGGCTTTCACCAGCTAGCCCCATGCTCCGGCTGCTGCTGGGTGTGAGAAGCCATACCGACTAGGGCCAGGCTGAGCCAGAGGACATCCGCAATAGGAGCAGCAAGGCGTCAGGGGAACCAGAGTGTCGGGAAACCAGGATGCTTGCAGAATCCCTGATTCAGGTCTAGGAGAACAAAAGCCTGTAACAGAAGATCTCTTCCTGTCTGAGGAGGACTAGACCAGGCTCAGACAAAAATCTGGGTCAGAGTGAGTTTAGGGGAAAGGACGCTGGGGGAGGCGGAGAGGGGGTGGATCCACCCTTTGGTGACTGTTGCTTTTCCTCTCAGGTCCCCTCATTTCTGAAGCACCTTGTAAAACAGCCCAGAGGAACCCTCATGGGTAAGAGCTTACACCACCAGATCACCCTCAATTCCTAGCCGCGTCTCAGCCCCCATACCCTCTTCTCCGACTCCACCCTACCTTCTCTCCTTCCCTCCCTATTTCTCTCCTCCATTTTGCCAGCTCTTCTGCCCCCAAAGGTGACACGTGTTTAGGGTCTTAGTGACCCAGCCTGGATCTGGCCCCTGAGACAGAGCCGGAATGGACCGATTCTCTCAATATCGTGGCTCTGTTTCTTTCTCTACAGGTCCTATGGGCTGTGCCTTCCTCCCTGGCCCATTCAGATAATTGCTACCAGCCTGAGGCTCCCCAGAGGCAGCTCAGATTCTCCATCCCTATACATCCCTCCTCAAATGGCCAACGGCAAAGAAGAGAGAAGCCAAGCTTAGATCCCAGCTCCTGCCTGAACACCCAGAGAGCCTGGTGCTACTGGGCCCGGTGTCTCCTGCGCTGCAACCAGAGATACTGGTCCTGGCCGCCAGGTCGCTAATCTCTGGTCTTGCCGCCTCAGTCCTTGCGGGTTTCAAGGCGATGTTGCCTCCAAACAAGGACCAACGGCTGCTACAGAAAGCAGCGTCCCCCGGGCGTCCCTCTCAGGGCCCCTCACAACTTGTGGACTCCTGTCCTCAGACCCTCCAGCCTTTGCCTCTCCAGAAACCGCTCCCTCCCTCCCTTCCTCCTTGCTCCCCTCCTCCACAGCCCCAGTCTCCTACCTCCCGCTCCTCCTCTTCTGACTCCAGCTCTGACTTTGTCCCACAGCCCTTCTCCTCCTCTCTCCCAAGTTCCCCCGCTTTCTTTCATCAGCATTACCCATCTCTCTCCCTTCCACATCCCTCCTCTCCTTTCTACCATCTGTACTTCTCCTCTCCCCCTGCTCCGTCCTCCAGTCCCTCTCAGCCACAGAACTCTCTCCCACCCTGCCAGTCCCCTCTCCACTCCGAAGACCTGCCTAGCTCCACGCTCACTTCCCAGAGCCCCAGTCTATCTTCTCCTGGGGTCCAGCCCAATAGGCAGCCATGGCACTGGCCTCAGTACCAGGACCCCAGACCCCCTGGGGCGACGGAGGGATGCGTGGCAAGCGAAAAGGACGCTGCAGAGTTCCGGAACCCGGAAGCCCTGGCCCAGGTCCTGGTGGCTCAGCTGGGGTACCGCCGCATCGCGCACGACCTCCGGCTACTCATTCTGCAGAGCCTGTGGCTCGGCAGAACCGACCAGCCTCCAGTGGTGGAGTACCCTATGTGCCTCGTGTGCCTCCGGCCCCGCAGCCCTTCCTGCCCCACCCCCAGGTACAGGACTGGGCCCCGGCTGCTTGCCTTCCCCCAGCTGCTGCCCTGTGCCCAAGACCAAAAGTCGAGACCACTGCGCATTGGCATTGGCTTTGCTCTCCGCCTGCCTCATCGCCAGGCCAGGGCTTTGCATCTGTTGCCAGAAAGAAGACCGGAGGAAGCAGGCCCTTGGGACGAGGCTCCACAGGCCCCTGGGTATCCAACCCACGCGTTTCAGGCCCGGGCAGCTTCGGCCCCAGCAGCTCCGGCCTGGGCAGAGTCAGCCTCAGGCAAACCCTCCCAGACCGGGAGCCTCAGCCATGCAGGCCCTCCTCAATCGCCAAATCCCACTCCGTGTTCAGGGCCTCCTCCGCTTCAGGGGCTCAGACTGGCCGCAGTCTCCCCGAGGCCCGGGCTTTCCTCTGCTCCAAGGCCTGCCTCTCCAGAACCTGCTCTCCGCAAGTCACCATCCTGTTTCCAGAGCCGCGGAGGCTCCCTGGGGCACCTCCTCTAAACCCTGCCGTCCCCACCAGGCCCCAGGTCTCGGGGAGCTGCCGGGACACCCTGAAGGGCTGGCTGGCTGGAGGTCAGGTGTGTGCTCCAGCCCTGAACCCTGGAAGTCCCTTGTGGAGCCTGCTCTCTCCTGGCTGAAGAGGAACCAAGGGCACCAACCGGAGGCCCCATTCAGCCTTCAATGTATCCAGTAAAGCTTAACCCTGCAAACCTGGTGTGTGTGTGTCCTGCTGAGCAGACACCGTGGGTACCTATGCAGGCACAGGGGGGCGGGGCTGAACCCAACGCGGGGTGTGGGAGAGTCAAAGGGAACAGAGGGGCCAGGGAGAGTGGATGCCATGTACCTGAAAAGGGCAAGGGGCCCAAAAGGTTTGAACACCTGACGTGGGTGGGGCTCTCGCGGGCCTTTCCCACATTAAATTTGGTGAAACAGATTAATGACACCCCCAAAGCGGAAGACACTGGGTCTCTTCCCCTGGGTGCACCTTAGCTCAAGGATGCATGCCGGTGGCCAGGGGAGCAGCCAGAGGAGTCTCCTTGCAGGAAAGGGCACTCTTAGCATTCACTGGCAGAAAACCACCAGGATGCTCACATTGGAGATGAGAAACCCAAGCATCCCCTCAGGATGGTGGAACTTAGATCTGCCCTGCTGGGGGTGGGGTTGCCAGCCTCTGTGATGTCAAAGGGGAGCAGCCCCCACCCACCAACCCTAGGGCACAGGTGCAGGGTGGGAGCCACGAGAATGGCTAGCTCCCACCGCTACAACCATGGACAGGTGTTAAGGTGAATCGTTTCCTCCTGCTAGAAAGCGGTGGACTCGGGCTTCGAGGCCAGGTCTGCTTTCAGGTTCTCACTGCCTGCATTAAGAGGCAGGACAAGCCGAAACCAGTTTGGCTCAGTGGATAGAGCGTGGGTCTGCGGACTGAAAGGTCCTGGGGTTCAATTCCGGTCAAAGGGCATGTACCTTGGTTGCAGGCACATCCCCAGTAGGGGGTGTGCAAGAGGCAGCTGATCGATGATTCTCTCTCATCGATGTTTCTAACTATCCCTCTCTCTTCCTCTCTGTAAAAAGCCAATAAAATATATTTTTTTAAAAAGCAGGACAAGCCGCATTTCCAGTGTATGCACTTGGGACAAACCACTTCCTCTCTGGGGTAATACGAAAGGCTGCGCTTGTATGAGTCTGCGTGTCGGTCTGGAAGGCAGACAGCCCTAATCCCAGGATTTCTTTATGAATTGGTTCACGAACCTCCCTTCACCTTGATTATTAGCTCCGCTCCACGCAGGACATTCCCGCGGGGCCTGCGCGCCGCTCCCGCCCCGCACAAAGATGGCGGGCGTGGCGTCACAGCGGGGCGCAGGCCGGCGCCCCTCCCCCCACGGCGGGCTATTGCTGACGCGGATCGGCGGCTCTGCGCCTGCGCGAGGGGCGCGGGCTGGGCGCGCGTGCGCACTGCGCGTCAGCGGGGCCGGGGTAGGTGGCCGGGAGCGCAGACGCCGGCTGCTGTGTGTGTGTGTGGGCAGCGTCTGGGCATCCCCGCGGGGAGAGAGGGGCCGGGAGTCCTCCCGGCGACGGCGATCGAGCCAAGTTCAGCAGCGGCGCGGGGAGAGTGGAAGGCCGGGCGCGGCATGTCGCGGAGGCCGCGGTGCGGACGGTGAAGCGCGCGGCGAGCGGCGAGCGGGATGGGTCGGCGCCGGGCGCCCGAGCTCTACCGGGCCCCGTTCCCGCTGTACGCGCTGCAGGTGGACCCCAGCACCGGGCTGCTCATCGCCGCGGGCGGAGGCGGCGCCGCCAAGACGGGCATAAAGAATGGAGTGGTGAGAGCGCAGGCCACTCGGGCCGGGGCCCCGTGGGCGGAGGGCGACTCCGGGAGGGTCTGGGGGGCCGGCGGGTCGCACCCCAGCTTCGGACCCTGCCCCCGGCCAGCGGAAATCCCCGGCAAGCCGGGCATCCGACCCGAATTTCAGCCGAGGACTTAAGCCCCCCAGGGCTATCGAGAGACTCTAAGGAAAGTCGCGCTTCCGCTGTACCCCCAGGAGCCGCTGGCCCGGGAGCCCCGAGACTGCCTGCCTGTGCTCCGCCGCGGCGACAGTGCTGCGGTTGGCCCTTAGGCTAGGTTTCCTTTCCTCTTCTAGGCGTCTCCCTATCGCTCTGTAAACTAAACTGGAGGTCATGATCCCCCCCCCCCCTGCCTGCTGTACAGATTTGTGAGGTCCAGAAAAAAACACACACAAAAAAACCAACGGGCTGGGGTTGGAGAAAGCCTTGTGAACTAGGAAGTGCGGTCAGCAAAGGGTCAGGGTCTCTGACCCCAGGAGGCAAAGTTTGCCCGTGAGGTAAACGGCACCCCTGAACCTCCCCCGTGCCGGTTCCCTCTCCCACAGCATTTTCTGCAGCTGGAGCAGATTAACGGGCGCCTGAGCGCCTCCTTGCTACACTCCCATGACACGGAGTCGCGGGCTACCATGAACTTGGCGCTGGCTGGCAACATCCTTGCTGCGGGGCAGGATGCCCACTGTCAGCTCCTGCGCTTCCAGACCCACCAGCAGAAGGGCAAAAGCAAGCCCGAGAAGGCAGGTGAGGAGCAGGCTCTCTAGCTTTGGGGAAAAGGGTGACATGAGCCGGATCGCTCTCATCTTGGTCTCTGGAGGAGAGGGGCTGGAAGGGGAGGGGGGCGATTAGGGTGGCAGGCGGGGAGCTGGCTGGAGATGGGGCTGGTATGGCTTGCTCATTGAAGCCTGGACTCTGGGGGGCTCTTTGTCTGGCAGGCACCAAGGAGCAGGGGCCTCGGCAGAGGAAGGGGGCGGCCCCACCAGAGAAGAAATCTGGAACTGAAACCCACCAGGAGGAGGTAGAACTGAGAGTAGAGAATCTGCAGGCGGTGCAGACAGACTTCAGCGCCGACCCGCTGCAGAAAGTTGTGTGCTACAACCACGACAGCACCCTGCTGGCCACGGGAGGCACCGACGGCTGCGTTCGCGTCTGGAAGGTGCGGTTCAGGGGGCTGGGGAGGATGTGTGTGCCCAGCAGCGAGGCCGGAATTGTGAGAACGCAAACTCGGGTTCTGGGGAGTGGTGAGCTGAGTCTGCGGGTGGGGATCGCCGGGCTCCTGGGGGTACCCAGGCGTTATAACCCTGGTGGTGGTTTGGCTGCAGGTACCCAGCCTGGAGAAAGTGCTGGAGTTCAAAGCCCACGAAGGGGAGATTGAGGACCTGGCTTTGGGGCCTGACGGCAAGGTGAGGAGGCGAGAGGGTGGACAAAGGTGGCTGTGCTGCTTGTTCCGTCAGTGGGTCTCCTAACTGTCCCTCCTTGAACTCTCGATTCCTGACCAGTTGGTGACCGTGGGCTGGGACCTTAAGGCCTTCGTGTGGCAGAAGGATCAGCTGGTGACACAGCTGCACTGGCAGGAGAACGGACCCACTTTTTCTAGCACGCCTTACCGCTACCAGGCCTGCAGGTGTGAAGATCCTGGAGGGGGGCTGGAAGGCTCGACCTGGGTGTGGCAGGGGAGCGGGAAGAGATTTGGGGGAAGCTGGCGGCCTTGGCGAGTATTCCCTCGGGCCTCAGCAAGGCGCAGGAGGGTACGAAACTCTCGAGGACGGCTGGGCAGGCCCCAGGAGCTGAACAGCTTCTCCCCGGCCCCCAGGTTTGGGCAGGTTCCAGACCAGCCTAAGGGGCGACGACTCTTCACAGTGCAGATCCCCCACAAGCGGCTGCGCCAGCCCCCACCCTGCTACCTCACAGCCTGGGATGGCTCTACCTTCTTGCCTCTTCGGACCAGACCCTGTGGCCATGAAGTCGTTTCCTGCCTTACTGTGAGGTCTGAGCGCTGGTGTGGCTGGGTGTGCGGGTGGCTGGGGGGCTCCACCATAGCCCGCTGGAGCCCCCGAGGACGGCCGTGAGTGCCGAGGGGCGCTGCGCACGCCTCCGGAACAGTGACTGTTCTGTCGTTTGTTGCAGTGACTCGGGCACCTTCCTAGGCCTGGGCACAGTCACCGGATCTGTTGCCATCTACATCGCTTTCTCTCTCCAGGTAATGGGCAGAGGTGGGCACAGCCCTGAGGGCTCTTCGGGATGGGGACTGCAGGCCTGCTTTTCCCGTGAGTGCAGGGAGGAGTCTGGCCCAGCCTACAGAGGGAATGCCTCCTGGGAGCAGGGGACATGTTTCCAGGAGGAATGCTTCCCACTGAGCCTTCCTTCCCTTGTTCTCCTGTCCCCAGCGCCTGTACTATGTGAGGGAGGCCCATGGCATTGTAGTGACGGATGTGGCCTTTCTACCCGAGAAGGGCCGTGGTCCAGAGCTCCTTGGGTCCCATGAAACTGCCCTGTTCTCTGTGGCTGTGGATAGTCGTTGCCAGATGCACCTGCTGCCCTCACGGCGTGAGTCATCGGGGTGGGCAGGTACCACCCAGCCTCTCGCGGTGGCAGAAAGCAGCCTCGTGGAGAATGGGCTGCTCGTTGAGAGCCATCTGTCCCCTCCTGAATGGAGTCGGATGAGGGTTCTGTTTTTGGCATGTGAGGCCCCTCTGCCCACTGACTTCTTCTCGTATCCTCCCCTGCAGGGAGTGTTCCTGTGTGGCTCCTGCTGCTGATCTGTGTTGGGCTTATTGTCATGACCATCCTGCTGCTCCAGAGTGCCTTCCCAGGTTTTCTTTAGTCTCCTGCTCCCAGGGAATCAGGGGTCTGGGACTCCGCCACCTTCGGGACCAGAGTGGAGGCCCCGATACCACTGTTCACTCCACCGCTACCTGGGTCCACAGCAGAAGTGGCCTCTGAGGAGACTTGACAGGAACTGCTTGCCCTTCCCAGTTAAAGCTTGACTGTGACCCTGTGTGACTGATTCTGGGAACCCTGAATTCACCTTTGGATCCACTCAGGACAGAATGGAGCCAGGGGCTCCAGAGTTGAGCTTATCCTTTCTCCAGAAATATGTGAAGGTGCCCCAGAATTTGGAGTCACTGCTGTCCTTTCTGAGGAAACAATCCGTTTCTCCTCCCTCACAACCTGTGGCCCGTTGTTCTTCACAGGAGCCCCTCGTGTTTGCTGGGGCGAGCACCTGCCTGGGAAGAGAGGAGCGAAAGGAAGACCCGGCAGTAATCTGTGGGGTCAGCCAGGTAGCTCTTAAGCCAGCCAGGCTAAATATGCAATAAGTTCCTAGATGGTCTACCCTAGCTTTGAGAAAAGGGAAAATGAGCCTCAGCCCGTTCGACAGGAAACGTTGATATTTAATAAACGGAAGACTGAACTGAGACCCCTCTGGCACTGTGGTCAGCTCTTGCCTTCCGCAGAAGGTGTCAGCGCCCCGCAGCCCGGCAGCTCTGTGGAGTGCTGGAAGACGGCTTTGGCATACTGATGGAAGAGGCGGCTCATGTAGCAGTGCTGCCAGGGGAGCAAGCCTTCCAGGAAGCCGATGTGGCCGCCCTGGGCCGTGACGAGCAGCGCGACGTGGGGAGATTGCTGGGCAGCTTGTAGCGGAAAGGCTGGAGGAGGGGTTGGAGAGGAGGTCTGAGAACCCAGGCGCTCTCCACTTACACCACATGGCCCATTGTCCTTGGGGCCAAAGCATCACGATTCGGGGTGCTCACCACAGGCTGGGGAGAAGGGGTCATCCGCTGCATTGAGGCAGAGCACAGGTGTCTGGATGGCATCCACCTTGGTTCTTGGGCTTGCTGCCTGGTAGTAGGTGGTACAGTCTTTATAGCCAAAGGCCACAGCCGTGTAGCGCTCATCAAATTGGCGGATTGTGCGGGCCTGTGGGTGGTGGAGGGTGGGATGGGCTAGGTTAAGGATAAGGAATAGGAAGATAATGCAGGAGTAGTTGGGAGAGGGGAGACGGTTGAAAGACCATACCTGTGTCACAAAGTCTACATTGACCTCCTTTTCCATCACCTTCCTATTTCTGCAAAAGAGCACAGGTTTGGCTCTCCCCCTGGACCTGACCCAGAGCCCCCAGCCTCTTTGATTTCAAGAGTGAGAAAGCCCAGATACAGAACTGACCCACGCACTGGGAGGACCTGGCATGCCTGCCATCCTACTCTGTTGGCCGCCCCCTCCCACTAGCCAAGACCCTACCTGTTCACAACTTGGCAGAGCTCAGCAGTGAGGCGCTGGTTAAAGAGCAGTGAGTTGAGCGGGGTCTCCAGGGAGCTGGTGGTCTCAAAGGAATCCCAGCATGCAGATAGCGTCAGCGCTGCCACCAGCCCTGCAGCCTTCCCCATTCGCGCCAGGTGGTTCAGCACTAATATCCTGCAGGACGGACCGGTGGCCAAGAAAGAAGGGTTTGCATTAGTGAGTTGGGACAGAGAAGACATAGAGGAGAGAGACACGGGGAGACTGGCCGTTTGGGTTAAGTCCAGGCGACCTTTACCCTCCAAGAGAGATGCCCACGGCCAGCAGTGGAGCTTGGGAGTAGCGGTGCTTTATGTGGTTCACGACTGTCTCCAGGTCTTCGGTATTGCTGGCACAGAAGGTCCTGTGGGTCTGAGGCAAACCAGGTCATTGGGTAAGAAGGGAAGCCCTGGCCAGAGGCAGAGAGATGAGAGGGAGAGGGGAGGATAGGTAAGTAGAGCCCCAGGGCCAAGGATCTTCCTCAGAGCTGTTCTGAGGAAGAGGGTACTCACCAGCAGTTCTTCCCCATGGCAGCCCCGGTTATTGAGCACAACAGCCCTGTGGCACACAGGGACATCTTAGCCAGGCTGTCTCTGAGAGCCCCTCCCCTTTGCCAGCCTTCAGAAAGAGCCCAGCCCACAGGTGCCTTCCACACAGCACCCTCTCCCCACAGCTCTGAACTGACCTCCCCATCACCAGTTCTCAGATGCCACCCTGCTCCTCTGGGTTGGGCCCATCCTTACCTATAACCATCCCTCAAAGCTTGGTCAACTAGGTGCAAGATGTATGTCTCCTGGCTGTTGCCCGTAATACCAGGAAGCAGCAGCACAATGGGCCGAGTGGCAGGGTCAGGGTATTGACTGCTGTCATGCTGGTCAGCCCAGTCTAGCATGAGCTGTCCTCCATCTGGAGTGTGGAGGACTTCGCTGTGGTTTTGGAGAAAAGGACACACAAAGATACCATTAGGAACTCTATCTACTTCAAGAGGTTTACGCCTGCCCCGCCAAAACACCTCCCACAATTTCCCATTGCCATCATTTGAGGGCATACGTTATGCAAAACAAAGATGATAAGGTGTAATGGGGACATAAAAGGTTCGCTATTACCTCATGGTTGTGCAATTAAATTATATATATATATATATATATATATATATATATATATATATATATTTATATATATATTTTATATATTTTTTTTAAATTTTAATTTATTTTTTACAGAGAGGAAGGGAGAGAGAGAGCTAGAAACGTCCATGAAAGAGAAACATCAACCAGCTGCCTCTTGCACACCCCCTATCGGGGATGTGCCCGCAACCAACGTACATGCCCCTGACCAGAATCGAACCCGGGACCTTTCAGTCTGCAGACTGACGCTCTACCACTGAGCCAAACCGGTTTCGGCAATAGCCTTCGTTTTTACCCTCAACACACTGAGGAGGATGGCAAAGACTGCATTTTAAAAGAGATGGCCCTATACTTGCAACACGGTGTTCACCCCCTTCCGTCCTTGCTTACCTCTGGTAAGAGACTGGACACCGAGGATGCAGTAAGGCTCGGAAGATGGTTTGTAGCCGCCCCTCCAAACACCATGGTGTAGGATAGAAAGTTTCCACAGTGATTGGACAGTGTTGCTCCAGGAAGGCCAAAAACCGGGACCCAGCCACCAGTTGAGGCCTCTGTAAATCACAATACAATCTGCCTCACTCCCCTAGTTTTTGTGCCAAGCCAGAGGGCATTGCTTCGGCTGGAAATGAGCCCAGCATACCCTAGTCTGGAGTAGCCAAGTCACCTGTGTTAATCTAGTCCAGCTAGAGGCCTGGAGGACTGCCGTCCTGGAGTGTCGCCTCTCCAGAACTGACACTACAGGCTCAACCAGGCCAGGAGCTGCTGCAGCTGACGGGGTGCTGACTTCTCCATTTAGCCTGTCCATGCCCCAGCCCCACTTGAGAGAGAGCAGTAATATAGATAAAATGCCAGCCAATCCCCTGCAAGAAGGATTGGGACCCCAGACAGAGGCTGAAGAAACATAGCACCATTCAACCTGTGACCTTTGTCTTGCAGGTGTATTTTCCTCACTGCCATCTTTCTAAAACTAGCGCTAGCCGCGCTGGCTCCCTGATTTGAGCAGCCCATTGCTGCATATTCCTATTCCCTACTGTGTGCTCACTGCTGATGGGCTGCTTCCTGCCACAGCACCTCATTCTCTCACTCCTGGGCCCCTGCTGTTAGGTCATACCCCAAAGGAGGAATAGTTCCCATGTTTCTCTTCCTTCATGCCAGCCAGGGAGAAGGCAACAGGAATGGAACAGGGACAAGTGAGGTGAATGAGCACCCCACCCTGACTTACAACTCCTTTGCTTGGTCCTTCTGGGTAGACCAAGGGAATGAGAAGGACTAGTCACATAGGAGGCATATGAAGGAGGAGTACACTGTTCAGACTAAATAGAAATGGCATTTCTGTCCCAGGCCTTAAGGAAGCTGAAGACCAGATTCCTATCTCCTCTGCAGTCTTGGTTCTCAAAGGCGGCTAAGTAAATGATGATCCGGTGAGGCCAGGCGGTAGTGTGTTGGTGATGTGACTCACACCCTGGTCCTTAAGCCTGTGATTCATTGTGTGCTACATTCAGGCACCAGGCTAAGCCCACCCTTATGAGGTAGGACATGTTATAAGTAAAGCAACTATCACTCACAGAGATTAAATTGTTTCCCAAAGTTACACAACAAACGAGGCAAAGCAGGATATTATATAACCACTAATACGAGGAGGGAAGATTTATTGAGTGCTCATTATGTTCCAAGCATTGTGCTAAGTATTTTACACGATTATATCCTGGGATTTTCACAACAGCTCTTTAAGTAATGGGATCCCTCTGTGGATACAGACTTGAATGTCCAGTAAGTTGTCAAAGGTCGTGAAGCTTGCTAAATCTAGTAAGTGGGGGAGCTGTGATTCAAACCCAGGTCTGTTCAACTCTAGAGCTTGTGCTCTTAGTCACTATACTATATATTACCTCCTAATCGCCAAGGTAATAAATTGAGTTATCAATTTATTAAATCCTTGGTCAAGCAGCTCAGTGGTATAGAAGAAGGTCCTAATAAATTAGGTCACAGGTGCGATTTATGTGGGTTTCATTTTAACCATAGTGAAGTACTTCTTGCCTCGTTCCTGAGCATTGCATAGTCACAGGGTTTGCAGAATGAAGTGCCAGAGGTCTCTGACTTCTGTGTGGCTTGTCGCAAGCAAAGGAAAATGTTTCATTAAGGTCTGAAATAAGTGACTTTCCCAATCAGACATATAGGGTATTGTGAGGTTTGGATTTTTTAAATTGTTTTATTAAGGCAGACTTCTTGCATAAAAAATACATGTGAATGTTGAAAGCTCTGGAAATACAGAAACGTCTAGGTAACATTAAGATTCCTTATTCATAAAGGGCTTGTATCAGTAAGTTTCTTGTTACACCCAGCTACTTAGGACAGAGTTCAATGAAGGTGAACTCTTTAGGTTTTTTCTGAATATGTAAATTATGTTTTTACCTAAATTTCAGTG